CCGCCCCCCAACGCCAAAACACGCCCACCAAGAACGAAGCAAGACCGCGGCACCGCGGCCCAAACCGGAGCACACCCCGCCGAACGCCCACGGCAGGAGGCAACGGAACCGCGCCCAACCCGGGCGGGAAGAAGAGCCGCAGGCCCAGGAACGACCCCCCCCCGACCCACCACCGACCGGGGCGGTGGGGGGGGGGGGCCTCTCGCCAAGAGGCGCTGCGGGGAAGGAGGGCGAGAGGGGGCGCGAGGGAGGGCGCTGTAGGAGGAGGGAGAGGGCGGAGGAGTGCCGGGCTCGCGCGGCTCCTCGAGCCCGCACAGCGCCAGACGGCCTCTCGGCTGCGTCTCGGCTGCGTCTCGGCTGCGTCTCGGCTGCGTCTCGCCTTGAGGCCGTACAGCGGCGGCGGCGCGGGCTTGCCGTTCGCGTCGCGGTAGGTGCCGCTCTCGTGCCAGTACCAGAGGGCAACCTACGGCGCGCGCGTTGCCGAGACGGTTCCGACGTGCCGCGCGTCTGCGTGCAGCAGCAGGAGCGAGCCTCGGGCGCGGCGTACTCGGGCGTGCCGTGCAGGCCGGAGAGGCCGCCGTGCTGCTCGTCCGTGTCGTCGACGATTGCGGCGCAGTGTAGGTCGACGAGGTGGAGGCGCCTACCCCCGACGAGTGGACGTGTCGTGGACGCGTCGTGGTCAGCGGCGGGAGGCGGACGAGGCGGAGTGCGCGCCACGGCTCGCCCTTGACGCGCTGAGACACCTGCACGCCCTCGGGCTTGATGTTGCGCAGCGCCACGCCAAGCTCGTGCGCGGCCTAGCGGGGCGGGAGGCGCCGGCTAGGCGGCGGCCCACGCAAGCGGCGAGCGGGCAAGCGGACGGCGGGCGGCGAGGGGCCGAAAGCGAGCGGCGAGGGGGAGGAGGCCGGGGCGGGGGAGCAGGCGCGGGAGGTTGCCTTTGTGGCGAGCACGAGCCGGACGAAGATCGCCCTCGCCTCCTCCTCCCTCAGCCGGTTCCGCTTCTCGAGCAGAGAGAGCAGGTCCGTGATCATGCCGCCTGCGGCAGGGAAGCGGCGCGCCTCGGCCGCAAGCCCACGCGCGCCCCAGCAGGAGGCGTGGGTAGCGCCGCGGAGCGTGCGAGCGTGCGAGCGTGCGAGCGTGCGAGCGTGCGAGCGTGCGAGCGTGCGAGCGTGCGAGCGTGCGAGCGTGCGTCTGCGCGTGGTACGCGCGCGCGTGCGTGCGTGCGTCGCGCACCGTCGCGGCGCAGCAGCGGCTCGAGCTCGAAAAAGACGAGGATGCGCGACGGCGTCGCGACCACCTCGTGCAGCTGCGGCAGCGGCGACGAGGTGGACGCGTCTCCACCCGGGGCCCCCGCGCCGCCGGTCGACACGAGCCGCCGCATCGCCTGCACCATCGCGTGCAGCTCGTCGCGCTTGCGCCGCGACGCCGAGAGCTCCTTGACGCTAGTCGGCCGCATCGCATACCGCACGCCCGTCTGCAAAGGAGAGGGCGCCGCTCCGTTGGTGGGCAGCGGTATCTCAGGGGCAGCCTCGCGGGCAGGCGCGCCTCCAGGTGGATGGCCTCGCTGCAGCCCGACAGCGCGCCCGTCAGTGGGCCCTACTCACGAGGCCGCGGCGGTGGAGCGGGAGGTGGCGGCGTCGCGACGCGGCCGCGTCCGCGCGCGCCTTGACCGCGTAGAGCCGCAAGAGCCCCGCCTCGCTCGAGAGCACCTGGTCGCTGACCTGCTCGAGGTAGGCCTCCATCGACCTCTTTGCTGAACAGAGCTCTTGAATGCCGGGCAGCAATGGCCTGGTGTTGCCAACCCTAGCCTGGCCGGTCTAGTTTATTTTTGCTGGACAGGGCCTCATGCCGGGGGTAGGGTAGGTCTGAGCCCTCCCGTCGGGGTTTCCCCTCTCTTCACGCTGGAATTTTCACAGCAGAAAAAGAAAATTTGCGGAAATCACGATGTCAACCCTCCCTAAGTGGGTGATCTTGTGCTTGTAGGGCTTGAGAGTGGCCTGCCATGTCACAGGAAGGACTGTGGTTGCAGGAGAGTACCACCAACGCATCGCTTTGTTGGTATAGTACCCCACCTTCACCGATCCCATGATTTCTTTTTTAGTTTCCCATAAGTAGGGTAGGTAGGTAGGTAGGTAGGTAGGGGCAGGGCAGGGGCCGGTCAGGTTTTTGCAGAATTTCAGCATGAGGCCCGGCCCTAGCAAAAATAAACTACACCTGGCCTGGGGAAGAATTCTTAAACGCCCACTTCAAGCCCCTTTCGCGTTTCGGCTTTGAGCAAGTGTGCACACTTGGCCGCCGCTGCCTCCCAAGCCCCGCTGAGCACTCCCACGCCAGTATACCTCTACCATTGGCAGGAAAGTTGTCTATCACCAAAAAACACCATTTGTTTCGATTTTTGAAGTCCCCAGAACCTCATGATACGAGCGTCACTTTGTACCCACCCCCCCTAGTTCGTGGGGACCCCCCCGCCGGTCGGTGGTCTGCCCCCGAGGTGGACCGGACCCCCCCTCCGGTCGGTCGCTCTCTCGGCGGCGGGAGGTGTGACGACCGACCCCCCCCTCGGTCGGTGTCCTTGCCGTGAGCCCCCTCAAACGCTCTCCCTCCTTCTCGCGAACCGCCACGGGCGCTTCGAAATCGCCGATTTTCACTATGAAAACCAGTCACGCAGCCAAGCGCCAAGGAGACTCTCTTCGCCGAGGCCCGAGCAAGCCCGACCGCACACGTATATGTGGAGCATCTACGCAGTCGCAGGTCTGGTCCTGCTTGCCGTTGCTTTGTACAAGCTCTGGCAGCGCTCCAGTTCTCCACAGTACGCGCGCATCGTCCCTTCTGATGACTACGATGACTTGCCCGACTTGATCGACACATCGCCGCCGCCGTCACCGGGCTCATCGGCTTCCGAGTCTCCCAAGCGACAGCGAATGGCAATCGATGGACGTCGCTTCTGGAGCAACTCATTTAATCGAGAAGGAGGTGGACTGCTTCTTGGAGTCGCAGGAGGAGCAGTTCACCTTCGAGGAGTTCTACTGCATGCTGGGCCCGTGGGCGCTCGGCCGGCAGAGAAGGAGGTGCTGGCCGCGCTCAAGCGGCTCGTCAACGGGTACAGTGTGTCGCCGGCGAAGCTAATCATGGACGACGACGACGGGAGCGTGGACATGGACGAGCTCGTGTTCCGACCCAATCCTGTAGAGCGTCTCGAGATCAGCAACTCGGACGACGATGAGTGATTAGACGGGGAGAGGTCGCTTGGTGTCTCTAGTATTTCGAGATACTAATTTATTCACAGCTGTGGCGAGCGTGTGCGGTGTGACCCTCGAGCCAACCCGACCGACCCCCCCCTCGGTCTGCGCTCCGACCGACCGGACCCCCCCTCCGGTCTGCGGTCCTCCGCGGCCGCCGACCGGACCCCCCCTGCGGTCGGTCGGTCTGCGCTGGGCGCTCAAACCGCGAACTCGGCCTGTTCACTACAATGTGACGCTCGAATGAGCTCAACAGCTCATCCTGACCTCCTCCGGAGCTGTGGTGTAATATAATGGACCGGAGGTAGTATACATAGCTACTATACTCCCTTGCGTTGCTCCACACCTCCCGGGCGGAATGGCGGCTGTGCACGAAGTAAACATGAGACCAAGGGGCGCGCGCGCGGCGAGCCTCAAATCCTGCACGATTTTAGCTTACCATTTCACCCCTAACAAGGCTCAAGGGCGGTTAGGAGTGGATGACTAGCGGGTATATCGGCATAAAACTCGGGTACGAAAGGTCCCTCAGCGGAGGGGCGGTCCGGTCCCCGCCTCTTCATGCGCCTCCTGCACCGCCGGTGATGCCCGGGGTGACCCCCCCCCCCCCCCCCAGCCCCATGGGTTATACTGAATTCGTATATTACACGAGCACAATTTTGAAAGTAGGTGTGGAATTAACCAAGTCATTTGATGGCGCCAAGCTCGTCAGGGTTGTTGTAGGTGTTGACTGGGATGCTGGCAAACCAAGTTTTGGGTAATGACGTTTTAAAACGTTAAATTGTCAAAACTGCCCAATTTTAGTAAGTAAAACGGTTGCGGCGCTCGCAGTATGCTCCGCCAATCACCTTAGGCTCCTCAGGGGAGTCAAACGAGCCCATGGCGGTACTAGTTAGGGAAGCCATTTGTAAGTAGCGAAGCTCCTGCTGTAGTGCACCTGTATCATCATTAAATGAGCATCAATTTGCGTAGGAAATTGAGGCTCCATAAAGGCAGTAAATTAGAGCTACACATGATGGTAGAAGTGTGGTCCATGACTTATAACTCGTGTTTTTGAATCCCCCATCCACCTAGGCAACTATCGTGCTGAGCTTGCTGCTTGGAGCCATGCTTGAACATTTGACTGTGCATTGGATTTTTGGACCCGTGCAGGGATTGTCGCGAGATTTGATTAAAAAACGATACATTTTTGGTAACTACTCAAGTTCTATAGACGTTCATTTTGTTTTTATTTGATAGAATCATTTCAAATAACCCAAACAAAAGACGATATTCTAATCAAACATGTAAAAAAAATGAACCGTCTATAGAACATGAGTTTCAACACCGTTCACTTTCAACATTGTGCTTGAGTGGGCAGTTGAGTACGGTAGTTGCCATGGTCGTGTGTTTTATACTTTATACGTTGTAAACAAATATCGTTACGATCATTTGTTCGCCTGGCGTAAGGCCGCGAGGGACGCGGCGAGGAGGGCAGCACTAAAGCGGGACCCGCTGTGTCCGATCGTGCGGAAAGCCGCGCAGCAATGGACCGAGGAAGATGAGAACCCGCCTAGAGCGACAATGGCGCACGTGCTTAGCGGCGCCTGCCTGGGGAATAGGGAGCAGGCCAGATGGTTCCTCAGAGTAGCGCGAGCGCAGACAGGGACGGCGATCAGCAAAGTGGCACAGGCGGCACCCGACTCCAAGGATACGCTGAAGACGCTGAGGATGGCGCATGTCGCTGCGCTGAAGGGCTCACGCTACAGGGTGCTGGACGAGGACGGGTACGATACACTAGCCCCCGCAGTCGGGGGGGTGTTGCCAGCACTGGTAGATGACCTCTCGGAGAAGAGCCGAAGGGACCTTGGCACCGGGGTCACGAGGAACCTGCAAGTCGTGGCCGAGGCGGCGACGGGAGCGGTGCAGAGGTGGATACAGCTCAATGATGAGGCTACGGCGCGCATAATGAAGAGAGAGGAACACATCGAGTGGCTGAGGAAGCTCTTCGCTGGGTGGAAGGAGGCCCGCCCGGCCTTGAGGGAGTCGCGGAGGAGGAGGGATAACGGAGGCAACGTGCAGACAGGCCAGCAGCCAGCGGGACGAACGAGGACCGCGACGGCAGCTCAAGCGGGAGGGAGCGGAGACAGTGGGCAGCGAGCGAAGTGGGTGAGACTGATGATGCTCCTTCGACTTAGGGAGCGGTTCCGCTGCTGGGCGAGCTTCAGGGTGGTGCTCACGCGAAAAGGAATCGACGCAATGTACAAAGCATACAAGAAGAGGAGAAAGAAGAGGAGAGGCGCCAGTGATGACGAAACAGAAGCTAGTGCAGACGAGGGCAGGTCAGACCCGGGGACGGCGGAGGCGGACCAGACGGCATCGACCGCCGAGGGAACGTTGGGAAGAGGCACGAGGAGGGCGGCGACCTCAACCGACTATGGAGGACCAGTCGCCAGACGACGCAGGGCAGACGACGGTGAGGCGGAGCAGTCGCGCAGGGCGAGACGAGGGAGGGAGCAGGACGTTGCGGAGATCAGCAGGAGGATGTACGAAGAGATTAGGAGCAGCAGGGACCCGAGGGACCATGTGGAAGACGGCTAGTGCTAGTCCCCCATCGGGAGGACGACCCCGGCTAGTCGCCGACCACACCCACAAAGAACCCTGCACAAAGATCGCAAGGGCGGGGACCTGTTCCTTTTTACCCATCTCCTAGTAGAGGTGTCCGTTTTATTTATTTACGCCTGGCGTAGACCATCTGAACTCAAGTGGCTTCCGCCGCTCGGATCATTTAAGTCCCAGCTCTTCCGCCAAGTGATTTGTACCGGCAAGGGGCTGCTATCGTTGAGCACAATTGGCAGCCAGGTATAGCACGCATCGGTGAGGCCGTGAGGGCCGCAATGCAACCAGTTGTCCGACATGTACACAAAGTAGGAAGGCCCCCGTGCTGGACTATAGCGCACCACATAAGTCGGCTGCGTGTTGAAGCTCGTGGCGTCTTGTGTGGGATTGCCCAAGTTGATCCAGCGTGTGCTACGATCGAGAACGGTCCCCGTGCTGCGCCATGCGATGAGCGGATTGGGGTTCCAGCCGGTCAGATGCGATGTGATCAGGTAATACGTTCCATTAGCAAGACGGAACATCGCCATGCCCTCGCAGGTGTGAAGCTTGGCGATGACGCCTGCCTCTGTCGTGTTAAGATAGTCAGCTGATAGGCGCGAGATGCCGACATAATCGTGCGCGCAGTCGCGGATAAGGTAAGCTTGCCCATCCAGCGGATCCAAGAAGAGGTTCATGTCGAGCGACGGTATGCCGTCTGGCCGAAAGCCAGCCACAAACGTGAATGGTCCGGCGGGGAGCTTCGCCGTCGCCGTTCCGACGCGGCGAAACTTGTACTTGCCCGATCGCTTGGGCTGGTCAAGGTGGAACCACAGCACGAAGCGACGAGTGCGATTGTTGAAGAGGACCTTGGGGCGCTGCATGACCCATCGGCCGTGCTCTCCCGGTACCACGACATCATCTTGGCCGAGCACTCGCCCCTCAAACGTCCATGGGCCGGCGATGGAGGGTGCGGAGTAGCAGTTGATGCCCTGCGTGGCGGACTGCCCCGCGTGCTCCTTCTTCGTCTCGCCGTACCAGTACCAACGTGCGTCCAGTGGAGACTGGAGCATCCCTGCAGCGTGTGCCTCGATTCGATTGCCTTCGGTGTCCATCCAGTGGGTGCCCGGGTGCACAATGTGCGCGCAGTGCGTGAGCGGCAGCAGTGCAGCGAGCAGGCCCATTGCAGTGCGAACCATTGCAGTATCCACCCTCTCACCAGGTGTATTTTATTTTTGCTTGGGGCGGCCCTCATGACGGGGTAGGTAGGGTAGGTCTGGGCTGTCCCGTCGGGGTTTTTCCCTCTCTTCACGCCGGAATTTTCACAGCAGAAAAAGAAATTTTCCGCCCAAATCACGATGTCAACCCTCCCCAAGTCGTTGATCTGGTGCTTGTAGGGCTTGAGAGTGGCCTGCCATGTCACAAGAAGGACTGTGGTTGCAGGAGAGTACCACCAACCATCACTCTAGTTGGTATAGTACCCCACCTTCACCCGTCCTATGATTTCTTTTTTAGTTTCCCATAAGTAAGGTAGGTAGGTAGGTAGGTAGGTAGGTAGGGGCACCGCACGGCGGCGGCTACGTCGTCGACTTCATCTACTGTCTGCGATCGACTCGTCTTCCTCTCCCCTTCTCGGAAGCGTTGGCACGATTCCCCCCCGAAATCTACCTCCCTCATGACACAGTGCGCGGCTGCGACGGAACCATCGGGTTCTGCCACCAACGTGAGGTCACCGGAGAGCAGCTGTGCCTGCCTCCGCCCTCGTCCCCCTCCTCCTCCCGCGAGTCGCCCTGCCCCAGTCATCCAGAGCACGACCTCTGGCGAGCCAGCCAGCCCCACTCTGCGGGCGCCAAGAAGAAGAAGAAGAAGACGTCGCGCACGCGGCAGGAGAAGAAACAAGAAGCGCGAGGCGGCGGCTCGAGAGGCTGCCGCTGCCGCGGCTGCCCGAGCGGCTGCTCAGGCGGCCGCTCAGGCCGCCCAGGCGGCCGCTCTCGGACGGTACAGGTTGGTCACCGCTTGGTTCTATCCAGTATGGTATCCTCGCGGCGACTGGTACACCTTGTACTGGGATGGCAGCTCGGCCGACAAGGTCGCAAGGCGCGCTGTCTTCCCGACGCTCGAGCAGAGACAAGCGCGAGCTGCCCGACCGCTCCTCCGACGACTCCTCCTCCGACCAAGACTCATGCGGCTCCGGCTCTACTAGCGCGGCGAATGACATTTTCGACACCCTCGACGACCATCTCGGCTACGGTTCCGACTCCGGCTTCGGCTGGTAGTCGACAAGCTGCCGAGCCCAAATCACTGTGTGTGCCACATTTCTGGTTGGCTTCTAAAAATCTCTCTCTCTCTGAGATTTTTAGCTACATGAACATGATCCGTACATGAAAGGGTGGAGGGGCCCGTCCGCGGAGCTATGCGGCGCGGGACCCCCCACTGGCAAGGAATAAAACAAAAAAAAACCCTACGACGGCGCGCCGCGCCACCAAAAAAGAATTTTAAAAGAAAAGAAATAAAACAGACAAGCAAGGGAGGGATGGGAGGACGGCACGCCGCCACCAGCACCACACAGGGATTTTAAGGAGAGGAGTGTGGTGCTAGCCGTCGCCCACCCTAACCCTTGGTCGTCTGCCTCTTTCTATCTCCCGTGCCTAGTATAAATAAATAAATAAAACGGACACACCAAACAAGGGGTGGGAGAAGGACAGGGTCCCCACCTGCGCGAGCAGGATCTTGTAAGGACGATCAGGGACACAGGGCATGTCACATTTTCTTTATTAAACGAGAGTGCCAAGAGCGGCGTAGCCCACACCCGCTCTTTCCGGGGTAGCAGAGCCTCGCTACACTAGAATGCCGTCGACGGCGCCCGCTGCGGCGGCGGCGGCGGCGCCCGCTGCGGCGGCGGCGGCATCCGCCGCCACGGCGTCCACGGCGTCCACGGCGCTCGCGGCCTCCCCTCCGCCCAAGATTGAGGTGAAGGTTTCGTGGCTCAAGCAGAAGCCCGTCGCGGGCAACCGGCAGCCGGTGCTCGAGTTTGACGAGCAGCAGCTGCACGCCTTCCCGCCGGAGACGACCACGTTTCGCCAGGTCCGCGACGCCCGCTGCGCGCCCTCGCCTGGCGAGCGCCGACGCTGAGCGCCCGCGCCTCAGGTCAAGCACGAGTGCTCGTACCCGGCGCCGCCGCACAAGGTGCGGATGTGGTGCTCGTCGTTCGGCGCGGCCGCTGACCTGCCGACGACGATGGAGGTGCCACCACGCGGCGGCCGCCCTCGCACGTCTCCCGCCAGACGTCCCACGTGCACACCTCACGCGCACACCTCGGCACGTCCTCACTGTCGTCGCACGCACCCTTCCGGCCGAACCTCTCTCCGTGCCGCCTCTCTCCGTGCCGCGCCCGGCTCGCTCATCCGCCCGCGCGCGGCTGTCCCGCAGCTCAACGTCTTCATCAACACCTTCGAGCTGATCACCGAGGAGAAGCACACACTCTCGATGGCGCACCTCACGGGCGGCGAGACCATCGCCTTTGAGATGGTGCAGGGGGAGCACGTCTCGGAGCTGTCTGGCTTCCTGCTCGGGGACCACGTCGGGCGAGCGAAGAAGGGGCAGGGCGGCGCGGCCAGCGGACAGGCGCAGCTCGTGCTGCCGGGCGGGGTCAACGCCCCCGCCGGCATCCTGCAGCCGCTCGCGCAAGCACGCGCCGCCTCGGAGCTCAAGCAAAAGGTGGACGCGGCGGCGCAGCTCTCGAACCAGCTCGCTGCGGCGAGCGATAGCCGGGACGTAGCAAGGGCATAGCCGAGGTGTAGCAGGTCTTCTGAGGCTGCAGTGGCGAGAGCGTGGCCGGAAGGGGCGCGGGCGTGGCGTGTGCCCCGTTGCGTGAGTGTGCCGAGGGCGCCGCGCTGTAGGAGCTGATCGCCGAGGAGGAGGAGGAGAAGGCGAAGCGCGAGAAGAAGAAGGCGAAGAAGAAGGGCAAGAAGGACAAGCAGCGAGAGAAGAAGAAGGCGCTCCGAGAGGGGCGCGCGGCGGGCGGCGGAGGAGCGGCGTCTCTTCACACCTCGAGCTGTGAACAGGCGCTCGCCGGCGAGCCGCCGGCGGCGAAGGCGGCGGGAGGCTCGGAGGAGGAGGAGGAGGACAACTCGGAGGAGGAGCAGCCTGCAGCCTCCTCCTCGTCGGCCTCCGCGCCGGCGGCGAGCGGCGCGGGAGGCAGCAGCGCGGGAGGCAGCCGGTCGGGAGGCAGCGGGTCGGCGGGGGGGGCCTCCTCCTCGGCGGCGGCACAGGGCGGCAGAGCAGTTGGGGCGGGCTCTCCGAGCGGCGGCGAGGCGGGGGCTGGCGGCGGCGCAGTCGAGAGCGAGGCGGACTATGAGGGGCTCAGCGAGGAGCAGCTGCGCGCGCAGGCCTCCACACGCACGCACACACACACGCACACACGCACCACACACGCGCCACACACGCACACGCGCCTTCGGCCTCGCCCCACTCCGCACCGGAGTGCCCACGCCCGCCAAGCCGTGCCAGGTGCTCAAGTCGCATCAGCTGATTCGAGCGCTCGTCGAGCAGTGCTTGCTTGAGCGGCGCTCCAAGGAGGCGCTGGCGGTGCAGATGGCCGACTACGAGGCTGCCGCCGCGGCGCAGCACTCCGAGTACGCTGCGGACGTCGCGCATTTGCGGGCCCAGCTCGCCAAGGCGCGCGCGCAGAGCATAAACTAGGGCCGGGGCCGCCCTTGCGCCACTGCACCTGCAGTCTTGAGAGGGCTTTCCATCCCTCTCCGGGCAGTGCAGGAGCTTTGGCAGCCGCAACGCGGACCGGCGGGGCGCCCCACTGATCTGGATCTCGATGTCTCTAGCTTTGAGTCTCTCCTCGGCCGGCATATTCGCTCTGCCCGGCGGCTGGCCCTGTGGATTGGGGGCCACGCCATTTTGTTTTTTTTTGCATCTGGTGCACTAGCACGCGCAAGTCCATCGTCGCCTCATCCTTTGTCATCCTCACGGGGAGGGGTCGATGGACGATGGCCGGCGGCTCGGACTGGATCCGCGCCGAGGACAAGGTGGCGCTTAGACAAGTATGATATGACAAGCACCCGTTGCTCCCCCCACACACCTCTAGACACTAGAGTGGAGAGGAGGCTCCTCCATAGGGTTTCACGATTCACCTCGCCTCACCTCATCAGCGAGACCAGAGAATCTGAGAGCACGAGCCACGAGCGCGCGAGAGGTGACTGAGTGTGTCTGAGAAAGACAAAGGTCAAAGCTGGTAGGTGGTAGCTGCCCTGGTTTCTCATCATTCATGGCGAAAATGGGAACGAGACACAGATACAGAAAATCGGAGTACGGAGAGAGAGACCGGTAGAGATGCCTCAGATTGCGGTGTGCTCAACGGCTTCAACCACAGGCACAGCGGTCACAGGCATATGGCTACCTTAAGGTATGGGCTGGCTGCCACCTGGGTGCCTGGCTGCTGGCATTGGCCAAAGTGCAGGTTTCGATTCCGGGCCACCGCAAATTTTGATCAGCAAATTTCGAGGGGCGGCCGCAAATTTTCAGCGATTTTCATTTGATTGTCGAAACGTGTCCGTCTTGGCACAGGATAGAGCATATAGGCGGCGAACACCCAGGTGCGCAGGGACATCGCGACTCTGCCCGCTCGCTCGACCCTCGCTACTGGTGGCGTGACAGGGCCTCTCTGGATTGCGTGTGCCTCCCATCGGCACGCGGGTGCGCAGACATCGCGACTCTGCCCGCTCGCTCGACCCTTTTGCCGCGAGAGGGCGCCGGCCGCTGGCGCCCTGAGGCGGCAATTGGTGGCGTGGCTGGGGAGTGCGGAGAACGCTACTGGCGGCGTGACAGGGCCTCTCTGGATTGCGTGTGCCGCCCATCGGCACGCGCGGGTGCGCAGACATCGCGACTCTGCCCGCTCGCTCGACCCTTTTGCCGCGAGAGGGCGCCGGCCGCGTGTAAGAGGTGGCTGGCGCCCTGAGGCGGCATTTGGTGGGGTCAGCGTGCGGTGCTGAGTCTTACTCGTCGTCGCTGGGGCCAGATCCCAGCGCTGAACTCTGCAACGCTGGCATACAAACACAAGAAGACTAACCCTAACCCTAACCCTAACCCTAACCCTAACCCTAGGTCAGCGTGCGGGGCTGAGTCTTAGTCGTCGGCGCCTCGGCGCTGTGGGGCCAGATCCCAGCGCAGAACCCTGTGCAACGCTGGCATATACAGACACAACACGACTAACCCTGACCCTAACCCTAACCCTAACCCTAACCCTAACCCTACAGTCACGCTCCCAATACGTGCATCACTTTTGTGACAGGTCTCAGCCTTTGAGCGGCCATATCTCGGTAACTATTGATGGTCCACCTGAAAACTCTTCGGATTCGCCGACCACAACCACAAAGAACCCTGCACAAAGATCGCAAGGGCGGGGGCCTGTTCCTTTTTACCCATCTCACAGTAGAGAGGTGTCCGTTTTTATTTATTTATTTATTTCTTCGGATTTGGAACGGGCGCCCGGCGCCCGTTCGAATGGCGATGAGTTCTCTCCGGTGGACCATCAATAGTTAGGCGAGATATGGCCGCTCAAAGTCTGAGACCTGTCACAAAAGTGATGCACGTATTGGGAGCACGACTGCCAAAACCCTAACCCTCTAGAACCCTCTCTAAATAAAGCCGTATTAGGTATTACGGCGTAACCCCTGACCTAACCCACCCCCCAAGCCTTAGGGTACCCCTAGGGTTCTGAGGGCCGGATTTTTTTAAGACCTTTTAAGAAATGAGGAGATTTGGGGGCTGAAATTACCATTTAAGAGATTTTGCAGGCACGGGGGTCCCTCTTTTAAGACCGTTTAAGAAAATCGGCCTCACCGGCCATGCGTCGCTGGGTTTCGCGCCGTTTTCTCCAATACTGCCGTTATTAGGCACAAACCCGCCTCTGAAGACACATCTGTAAGTCTGGTGCACTGGCAGGAGCCATACACTCGCATAGGGGGCGCGTGCTAGCTGACTGTAGCCAGCTTCCCGGCCTCCGGCGTCTACCGGGAGCCTCCCGGACCATCGACCTCGGGAGCTCTCCCGCACCGTTTAAGCGTTTAAGACCGTTTAAGGAATCGGCGGCCCAGCAGCTCTTAAAACCTGCCATGGCAGGTTTTAAGCCGTTTAAGCCGCAGGCGCCCCAGGGCCCACCCTTTTAAGCCTAGGGGTACCCTAAGCCCCAAGCCCAACTCTCCACTCTCCACACGAGTTCACGACACACCGCAAATATGAAAATCAGGCCCGACCGCAAATTTCTTCACAATTTTCGCAGGCGCTCCGCGCCTGCAGATTTTGAAATAAATTCGACAAAATTGGTACCTGGCCCAATAGCTGGCAGTGCCTGCGTGCCTGGCTGTGGCTCTCGATCGCGCCCGCCGCCGCGCCGCTTTGGCTCGGGCGGAGGCCACCGATCGCCCGCAGCCGCACCAGATCGCGGCTCATTGGCGGCACGAGCCCTCAGGCCTCCTCCTCCTCCTCCTCCTCCTCCTCCGCTCCGCCCGCCTCGGCAGCGTCCAGCGCTGCCGCGGCGCTCTCCGCAGCCCCTCCCCCGCTGCGCGCGGCCGCGACGGCGCGCCCCTCGGCGTACGCCTCGCTCACGAGGTCGACTGCCTCCCGCGAGGCGAGGAGGTTGACCGTGTTCCACGCGAACTTGTCGGTGGTCGACATCTGGTGCACTAGCACGCGCAAGTCCATCGCCGTGAGCGAGTCCGGCACAGCGTCGCGCTCGAGGCCGGCGACCACCCACGCGTCCACGAGCGCCTCGCGCGAGAGGAAGAAGGGCATCGCGTGCGCCGACTGCAGCTGGTCGGTGCAAAAGACGGGCAGCTGCCACGCCGCCTCGGGCAGCCCCTGCTTCTCCGCCTGCTCGCGAAGGAAGGGCCCCATCTGTTCGCGCACAGCCGCGCTGCCCTGCAGCTTGAGCGTGCTCGCGATGTGGCCCTGCGGCTCATCGCCCGGCCAGCCACCGCACGCGGCGAAGGCGCGCCCGAGCGGCGTCACGCCGAGGTGCAGCCCGCGCACGTCCGGCATCGCCCGCTTCGCCGACTCGAGCACGGCCCTCGCCTAGACAGGTCCGTCGACGCGGTGACCACTCAGCTCCTCCCCTCCGCGGCTCGAGGGGCAAGCTTCGACCTCGGCCGGGTCCGTGTAGAAGCAGGCGGTGGGGGTGGCGCCCTCCTCCTCGCGCATGCCGACCACGCGCGACTGCCCGTCGAGCAGGCAGAAGGTCGGCACCGTGTTCAGCTTCGCGGTCACCGCCTCGCGGCTGAGCGCCGCCGGCACCGGCTGGACCTGACTCGCGCCGAGCGCAGCGACCAGCTTGCTGTGCGCCTCGAGCGGGCCCGCGAGCGCCACGCGTAGCTGGGAGAGGGCGCTGGCGACCGTCCCGCCCGCCTTGCGGCGGCCCGCGGCCCGAAGCGCTGCCAGCTTCTCCACCGTCTCGGCCGGCACCGCCCGCACATTCTCCTTGGCCGCCGCCTCGTCATCTGAGAGGTAGAGCGCCGCCTGCCGCAAGAGCTGCATCGAGCCGGCCGCCGCGGGAAGCGCCTCGTCGGACTCGCCGCGCATCAGCTGGTGAACCTCGCAAAAGTGCTGGTGTGCCTCCTTGAAGGCCCTGCGGTCTGGCCTGGCTGCGATTGCCTCTGGCGACGCCTTGCGGCCGAGGATGCTCGGCCGTGCGGTCGAGAGCACGCCCAACTCGAGTTGCGCGAACTGGTCCATGAAGGCGTCGATAGACCGCGAGAGGGCGGCGAGCGCCGCGGCGACCTCGGCCTCGTCGTCTCCGTCCTCCGAGGAGCCCTCGTTCTTTGACCCTGCGGCGGCTGCGGCGGCGGCGGCCTCCGCCTCTGCCTCGCCGCCGCGCAGGCGGCGAAGGGTGAGCGACGAGGCGGGTGGCGCAGCGATCCTCGACGCGTCGACGAGCGAGAGGCTGGCCAGCAGCAAGAGCGAGAGTCTCATCGCCGCGTGGCTCATCGCCGCGTGGCGTGTGGGCGAGATGCGCGAGCAACAGAGAAGGCGGCTCTTTTTTTGTTCTAGGCGGCAGAGTGCTCCTGGGGGCCACTCGGGACCTCGGGACCGCTCGGGACCGCTCGGGACCCTCGGGACCGCTCGGGACCGCTCGGGACCGCTCGGGACCCTCGGGACCGCTCGGGACGCTCGGGACCGCTCGGCCTCGCTCGCGGCTCGGCCTCGCTCGGGGGCGCGGCTGGGACATTTGCGGCCCGCCTCCGGCTGGCTGGGCTGCACGGCTGGGCGGCGCGGAGGTGCTGCAGTGAGAAGAAATTGTAAACTTCTCATGAGATTAGCAGCAAAAACCAGGTGTATGTTATTTTTGCTTGGGGCGGCCCTCATGATGAAATTCAGGAAAAACCTGACCGGCCCCTGCGGTGCCCCTACCTACCTACCTACCTACCTACCTTACTTATGGGAAACTAAAAAAGAAAACACTCGATGGGTGAAGGTGGGGTACTATACCAACTAGAGTGATGGTTGGTGGTACTCTCCTGCAACCACAGTCCTTCTTGTGACATGGCAGGCCACTCTCAAGCCCTACAAGCACCAGATCAACGACTTGGGGAGGGTTGACATCGTGATTTGGGCGGAAAATTTCTTTTTCTGCTGTGAAAATTCCGGCGTGAAGAGAGGGAAAAACCCGACGGGAGGGCCCAGACCTACCCTACCTACCCCGTCATGAGGGCCGCCCCAAGCAAAAATAACATACACCTGGCAAAAACAGCAAAGCACTAAGTAAGAAACTGCGCCGCGATGCGTGCGGCGGGCACACCGGCCACGGGCCAAACACATCATACTGTCGCAGGAGGTGAGGCACGAGGACCCTCACGAGGACCAGTGGCCCGACCTGTATCGAGAAGCTTCACCTATTATTCCCCTTCTCTCTCTCTCTCTCTCTTTCTCTCTCTCCCATTCCAGAGTGACAAGTAGTCCATCATAACCCCATGTCCCTATATTCCCACACCCTGTGCAGTGGCACGTCTCGCCACCTAGACGGTCTCTCTTTCCACTTTCGCTACGTGTTCAACGACGTTGAACAGTGTTCAACCACGGCGCTGTTCACAGCGCGCGCGGACAGCCGATCTGAGAGTCTCCCTCCGCTGGACTTTTGTAAAGCATGCTTGTGGCAAGTTATGGACGCTAGTATCGACCTCAGAGACCCAAACCCGAATTAATAATTAAGGCTCAAAGTATGGTTGAACAACCGTTGAACAAACAGGTTGCACAACGAAAAGAGACTAGTGCGACCGCTAGACGGCGGTTCCCGCCGGCCCCAAGGCTGCCCAGCCCCAGTACCACACCGGCCACGTGCACCGTGGCGCTGGAGTCGGTCAGTGAGGCACTAGACGGGCTACGGAACCATGCGCGCGCCGGCCGGACAGGCTGCGCGCAGGGGCCGCGCCGCCTCGATTTCGCACCTCCGCTCCGCGGCCGGCTGAGGGGCTAGCTCGCCCGGCGACAAGCCCAGCCATCGCCCAGCGCCCCGTATCGACGGGGGGCACGCAAAAAACCGCACCTACGACTAGGGTGAGCCCGTGAGGGCGTCGGTGTGGGCCGCGGGCGGGCTGCCAGGAGGGCGCGGGTGGGAGCATGGGAGATGCACCACCGCTCGACGAAGACGCGCCCGACGAAGCCCTGCTAGCGGAGGATGGTCGATCCTCACCTACTAGTGTCGGGCGTGTGCGAAAAAGAGCGCAAATCGGAGCTCAACTCGCGCGCGGCTGGGAAAGGGGTGTGGCACTTCTCCGAAGGCGCCTCGCGAGGAGCTGCTGCTGCCCCCAAACGCGCTCGGGCAGCACGTCGGCGCGCCTGCGGGGTTGGGGAGGTGAAACTATGCTTGCTGCACGCGCATCCCGCACCACCCCCACGTCCGCGCGCACCATGCCGCCATCCCACCTCACAGCCAAGCGCCATCGCCGTCGGACGCGGCGACGCCGAGCGGTGGCCTCGCAGACGACGAGCGCGATGAGGCCGCCGCGCCGCCGGGGTGGCCGGCGCGTGCCAGCCGCTGGCCCGTCCAGCGTGGCGGGACCGGCTCGCCCATCCTGGCCCGCGCGCTTGCCGACGCGAGAAGATCGCGCGAGAGGGCAAAATGTGGCAAAATCGCCCTGTTTCCCCACCCTTCACGGCGACTTCACGTCGGAACGAGTCGGATCGACGACTCGCCGCCTGCACCAGCGTGTGCGCCTTGCAATTCTATACAGAATCGATACTTGGTACGTCCTCTCAATCGCTCGTGGAGAGGAGCTACGGCCATTCTCCACTTGTGTGCAACGACGTTGAACACTGTTCAACGTCGTTGAACACGATCGAGTAACCGTAGACCCCTAATAGTAGCACCTTGGGCGCCGACGGCTTCGGCGCCCAAATATTGGCACGTAATAGTCTCCGGACTGCTTCTCGTGGTACCGCCGCGCTGCGAGACAGTCGAGCTCTCTACTGTTGTGACACCACAACTCGGTGCAACTGGCGCCATTCTTCCACCGGTGTGACACCACACCTTCGTACTTTGAATACTCTCTACAAATATGTCTTCCTCGGCTGAGGAGGCCCGTGGCACTGCGGGCAATCTATCTCCCGCGGTCTCGTGCTGGGCACCGTGGATTCGGGTTCAGATGACTATCTCTCGAGCGAGAGACGAGGGACGCCTCACAATACTACAGAGGGCCGAGACCGGGACCATTCCACACGGTCAGACCACTCTGATCACCACCACACATACCTAGGTCCCTTCATACGCTCCTGGAGCCCAACCATGTGCGCCGCGATCTTCCATGACCGCGGCAAGCAGGGTGAACGAGCCACGCCACGTAGTGCAAAGAGCCATACGGTTGTCCACTACCTGGCCAATAAGTTGGCCAATGAGGTGCTCCACACGCCTACGGGCTACGGTAGTGCTGCACCGTCTGGCACCTTGACACCGGCGAGCATGGTACCGGCCTAGATGGTGTCGAGGGGTGTCGAGGGTGTCGAGTTGGCATGGGGTGTCGAGGTGTCGAGTTGGTGTCGAGGTGTCGAGGCCAGGGCTCAGGCTCGACGAGAGTGGGCGCAACATCGCCGACACCATCTTCGTGGTGTGGAGTCCATCAGGGCGCATGTCGAGCCATCCAGCGGCGCCGAACTGGGAGATCGAGATGCGCCGCACTTGGAGCACTTGGAGTGCAGTCATTAGCCTCACATCCAGGGCCGGGGAGCTAAGAAGCGCACCCAGCGGGCCGGATGATCGGGATCGGGTTGCGGGCAAGAAAGCCCTAGCAGGGGTGCGCGTTCGCAGGGAAAGGGCCCGTAAAGTAAACACGGGTCTCCGAGCGCGGCGAATTCTCTTATTCCCGTCATGCGTGGAATTTCGAGGAACCGACACCATCTTCGTGGTGTGGAGTCCATCAGGGCGCATGTCGAGCCATCCAGCGGCGCCGAACTGGGATCTGGGAGATCGAGATGAAATGAAGGGACGATCCCCAGTCGCCTCCCTGAACTTGATCGCCTCCGACTGCGGCGTGTTTTTGTCGATCTCCTCGCACGCCGTCAGGCACGCGATCCACGCTAGAGAAAAAAATTAAAAAGAATGGCGGCGCGAATTCTCTTTTTCCCGTCATGCGTGGAATTTCGAGGAACCGACTGTCGTGAGTGTATCTGTGTGTGTGTGTGTATATGCTCTCCGCCGCGCTCCTCGTCGCGGCCGCTGCTTTCGTTCCGCACACGCAGCCGCCCTGCAGTCGGCGACACGCGGCCGTCGTCGCGATGGTGGCCAAGGGCTTCTCCAAAGCCCCTCCTCCCGCGTCCAAGCCGCCAAAGAAGCGGGCCGCCGCCGCCGGGCCTGCGCCACCGCCGCCGTTATCCGCAAAGGCGCAGCAGGCTTCCAAGGATTTTGACAGCCTCAAGGCGAGCGGCGCGCCCGAGTACTCGATCGCTGTCCGAACAGTGAGCAGCGGCGGCGAGCCGAGCGAGTGGTACCTGGTGGGCGGCCTCGCTGTGCCGCGCTCCAACTCCGAGGAGAAGGCCGTGAGCATGGCCATATTCCAGAACGAGGACGAGCTCCTCAAGGGCGCCTACAAGTTTTACCCAAAGCTGAAAGCGAGCACCGACAAGTTCGAATACGGCTACAAGATGAGGGATTTCCCTGACGACCCCTGGAACATCGCATCCGAGGCGGCGACCAAGGGGTCCGACAACCCCTTCATGGACTGGTTCAACACACTCGACAACCCTCTCAACCGCGGGTAGCCGCCGGATTAGTGCAGTATGCGACGAGCCAACTCTGACCGCGTTGCGCCCGTGCCGACTAGCCCGCCGCGGGCGGCCCCATTCCCCTTGCTACGTGAGCATGCCTAGCTGCGTCTGCTGAGACTCAGAGGCGAAAGGTGATCCCTGGGCGTGAGTGTAATCGCGCTTTCGTCTCCCCTCCCAGCTTCCTCCCTAGCTCCCTACGCGCTACGGGTGCTTCTCAACACTCCGCCAAAAACTCTGACCAATGGGGGCCAGGTCAGGCGTACACGGGACAGTCGACACAGGGTCGAGATAACACGCCCTGCTCACAAAAGCTTCTTTCTTCTTTTCCGGGATTTTCTCAAAGAAGTTATGTAGAGGGGAAAATGGAGCTTGGAGGCGGTTCCCGGGTTCGCGTACGTCCGCGCTGGCATGCCGCTCCCGCTCTGAAGGCATGAACCGCCGTCGCGCGATTGCGAGCGTGGTCCTGTGCTGCTTCGGAGTGAGGGCATTGCGGCAGCAGTGCCTACAGCCAGAGGCCGGCGCTCGGCATGTTGTCGTCAGCGATAGCACTGACGGATTGTGTAATGTGACCGACTACCACTTCTCGCAGGCTGGAGAGAACGAGCACGCGGAGCTGTGCTGGAATGTCGTCAACATGACAGAGCCAGCACCACTGCCGCCAAACACTCCGCAGTCCTCATTCGAGCCGTCGTGCGGGTTGGGGGCTGGGGCCCCGGTCATTGTCATCGGCGTGCCTGCCACGATCCGCCATTCTGAGCCGTCGGCGGTCTTCCAGAACTGCGATCTCTTCTCGCGAAAGATCCTAGAGCGCGGCGGGATTCCGGTCGACTCAGTGCGACATTTTATTCAGTGCGTGGCTATCGGAGACAGCGAGGACGAGCGATTCGTCACAAATGTCGTCTCCCGCCTGGCCGGTGACTGGCATGCTGACGCGGTGCTCGCGCCGACCAGCACGGAGCTCACGTATTATGCCGCGCTGCAGTCGGTCGTCGACAATCGGACGATGATCGTCTCGACGAGCTCGAGCGACCGCATCTTCGAGGAGGCCAACGCCGTCGCGATGATTAAAGATCGCGCGCCGAACCCAATGGTGTATGGCCTGCTGCCGCCAGTCGAGAATTACCTCACGCGCTCCTTTGACGCCATCTGCTACGCTGCCCGTACCTGCGACGAGTCCTCAGGCGGCTGTGACTTTGAAGACCGCTGCTTGGAGCACGGCGCGCCCAGCTGCACCGAGGCGCTCAGGCTCGGGGTGATCAGGGATGAGGAAGGCAGCTCTGTGCTCGACTCGCCCTCTGGGATGTGCAGCAACGCGAGTGCTTTGTGGGCAGCCTCCTCTTGCGCGGACGCCAACGACGCTCTAACTAACATTTGGAACGAGGGGAATCTCACCGCAGCCCTCACGGAGATGCAGGCTAATGCGGTCACGGTGGTCATAATATGCGGTGCCGAGACCTTCGCCATCGCGGCTGTCGAGGCGATGGAATCCCTCGGATTTGCGCCGCTCGCCGCCATCGTGACCAACGCGCTCGCAGAGACCGAATATGCTGGCAGGGTTCTGGATGAGGGCTGGTGGGAGGGTGAGTACTTCATTCAACCGGTCCCGTGGCATCGGTCGCTGCCGGGTGAGCCGGGCAATTTTTCGAACATGACTAGCGAGGACTACGCCGACGAGTACTACAAGGTTTTTGGGACAGAGCCAGACTACGTGGGTGCCGCCACCTATGCGGGGCTCTGTGCTTTCGCAGTCGCCGTCAGGGAGGCTGGGACGCTCAGTGTCTACGATGTCACTGCAGCAATGCGCAACATTTCCCTGATGGAGTTTTATGACCCGATCCGGTTCGGCGACAATGGCAGGATGGCAGCAGCAGACTTTCCCGTCGTCCAGTACCCTCCCGAAACCGCGCTAGAGCGCTCGATTGAGCGGGAGATGTCACTTGCGCAGCTTCAGGGCGGTCTCAAGGTGGTCGACTACCCCGCCTCGGCCGAGCGGGGCAACGATGCGATCCACAATGTGTCCTTTCCGATGCCGACCTGGGCGTTCCGCCGTTGCGTCTATGAGTCCGCGTTGGCCGCGGCACAGGCTGGAGAAGGCTCGGAGCAGTGCAGCGGCCGTGGGACGTGCAGCGAGGATGGGACCTGTGCATGTGAGGAGCCTTACTCCACATCCGCGGAGTATGCGCACGCAAACTGTGCCTTGTCTTGCTCCGGCCACGGCGAGTGGGTCAACGAGACCTGCGAGTGCGACTCGCTTTACAGCGGCGAGCATTGTGAGGAGGAGTGCAACGGCCGTGGTGCCGTGGACGTAAACACGGGTGAATGCATCTGCGAAGACGGCTACACTGGCGACGACTGCGCGGACACAAAGCAGTTCCCGGTCGAGGTGCTCATCATCTCGCTGATGGGCTTCCTGGTTTGCGCCGTCTTGGTGCTGCTGTGGATGCTGCGGCGCCGGCGGCTGCTCCAGGCGGCACTCCAGCAGGCTGAGCAGGAGTACGCGCGGTGGGAGCCCGCGACCCGAAGGAGCATGAAGCTCTCTAGTGCCCTCACGGGACCGTCCGGCATCTGCCGTCGCTGTCGCCAGGGCGAGGCGGACGCACGCGAGAAGCTGTCCGCGAGGGCACGCGTGGTCGCCGCTCCCGGCGTGCCCGATCAGATGTATCACGCCTTCGTCTCCCATGCGTGGGCGACGGCTCAAGACCAGGCGCGCAGCCTGAAGGAGCTCCTCCAGAACTTCGTGCAGAACATCGTGTGCTTCTTGGACGTCGACAATCTCGAGGACATCAGCCGGCTCGACGAGTACATCGAGAACTCGAGCGCCATCCTCATCTTCTTGTCCGGCTCGACTCGGGGCGAGGATGGCACTCAGCAGTCCGACTACTTCAGCTCTGCGAACTGCATGGTCGAGCTCCGCGCCGCCGTGCGGCTCGGCAAGCCAATCATCCTCGTTCTCGAGACCAACCCGTCGCACGGTGGAGTGCCTCTGGACGTTCACCGCCGCGCGTGCCCCGAGGAGCTGGCCTCGGTCGTGTTTGCAGCGCCCACCATCCCGTGGCACCGCCTGCGCGACTTTCAGATCTGCACCATGCGGCTGCTCGTGGTGGAGCTGCTTCGCGCCTGGCAAATACCGGGAGCGGACCGTCCCGTTTTCATTCCGCGCGAAAAGCTGCGCCAGCCTTTGCCGCGGCTGCAGACCAAGAAGGCCTTCCACCTCTCACACTCGGACAACAACCCCGGCGCCGCAGAGATTGTCGCAAAGATGGAGGCTGCCGTCTTGGTGAAGCTGCGCGTGACGCGCATCGCCAAAGCCACTCCCGAGAACTGCTTGCGCTTCCTCATCTACTTGAACGATTCGACCTTCTCCCCCGGCCCGAGGGCCGACGCGCTTGCCCAAGAGATTGAGGGGGCTCTCGCCAGCGAGCTGCCGCTGCTGCTGGTCCACGAGCAGCGCTCGGGACTGGGAGCCCTAACCTTTGCTGATATTATGGAGGCGACCCCGGAGCCGCTCCGGGAGGCGGGCATCTACCAAAAGATTGCCGCTCCGATTTACGACGGGCCGCACGAAGAGGTCTCCGTCCGGCTGCTCCTGGACGAAGTGGAGCGGTCGGCTATCCGCAGCAACAGCTACCTCCAGCGGGCGCTCTCGAACCTGAGCAGCCGCATGGGTAGCCCCAGCCCCAGGGTGGAGCCGGGCGACGGAGAGCTGGCGGAGGCGGTTGTGAGCCGGCAGTCGTCGACAGAGAGCAAGACGATTGGCTCGGGGAATGGGTTCGGGGGGAGCGGCTCCGGCGCGAGCAAGGGCGGAGAAAGCCCAGGAAGACCAGACAAGGTCCTCGCCAACCTGTTATAGCAGCGGCCTGCATAGGTCGTAGGTATGTGTGTATGTGCACAACATGACCATGTATTTTGGAACTTCTCTCTCTCTCTCTCTCTCTCTCTCTCTCTCCCTCCCTCCCTCCCTCTTTCTCTCTCTCTCTCTCTCTCTCTCTCTCTCTCTCTCTCTCTCTCTCTCTCTCTCTCAACTTCTCTCTCTCTCTCTCTAACTTGTACGTATGGGGGGGTTGTGTATTGGACGCGAGATAGAGGCAAGTTCGGCCCTTCGGTGAGAGTTCGCTCGACGCTCCGCGCTAAAATCCTAGCTAAAATCGCGCGCGGCCGCAGAGCGTGGAGAGCACAAGAGACAAGTGGAGGGGGGAAGAAAGATCGGACAGCTCACACACGCGCGCGCACACACACACACACACACATGCACGCACGCACACGCACGCACACGCACACGCACGGTCGCACACGCACACGACGCACGCACGCACGCACGCACGCACACCTAACGCGCTCGCACGCCACACCTGACGCGCACTGTTCAGTAAGTAAGTAGGTCCGGGGGGGGACGCAGGGAGGGGTCACTCCCGCGCGACCTCACTCAGGAACTAGCACACACACGGGGCAACTCGCGGCCGTCAGAAACCACGCCTGGATGGGTCGCACCAATCCTCGCCACCCAAAAGAATCAGCCGCTCCACCTCGAGAAGAAGGCGGTAGCAGTGGGCATTTCCCCTACTCGCGGCGTAAGCTATGGGACCGAAAAAAAACAGAAAGCGGCCGCTGGCTCCTCCCGCACAGCGTCTCGCTGGGCGTTGGTTGCATTCGACGTTGGGATGTCCTCAAAGCGCAAGCCGGAGCCAGCGAAACCGGAGGCGACCACCACCACGCGACGCGTCGGCCAGCGGACGCGCCTGCAGCCGCTCGCGTGGTGGAGCAACGAGCGCAAAAACTACGAGGCCTCCGAGAACGGTCCAGTGCTCACCGGCGTGCTCTCACCTGGCGAAGGCAAGATCAAGCCGCTGACCGGCTCCTCTCCATCTCCACCGCACAGCAAGCGCAAGGTCGAGCCGCGCCGCCGCAAGAAGAAGGTGGCGTTTGAAGGAGGATACCCTGGAGGCGTGCTCGACGAGGCAGACGCACCAACAGAGGAGTGGGCGCCGCCAGACGAGCTTCCTCTGGCAGCACCACAGCCGTGGGCGACAGCGGAGGAGGAGGAGGGGGAGGCAGCCCGCGCCGAGGCCGAGAAGGCGGCGCAGGAGAAGGAGGCGGCGGAACGGGAGGCCGCGCGCGCCGAGTCGGCTCGAGATGAGGCGGAGAGGGCGGCGGCGGAGGAGGCGGAGCGTCGGCGTCTGGAGGAGGCGGCGGCCCGCAAGCAAGAGGCCGAGGCTGCGGCCGCGGCGGAGACGGAGCGGGTGAGGCTGGAGGAGGAGGCACGGCGCAAGGCGGAGGCTGCGGCTGCGGCTGCGGCCGCTGCGGCTGCTGCTGCGGCGGCGGAGGCTGAGGCGGAGCGTCGGCGTCTGGAGGAAGCAGCCCGCGCCGAGGCCGAGAAGGCGGCGCAGGAGAAGGAGGCGGCGGAAAAGGCTCGCCAAGAGCAGGCTGCGGCAGAGGCAGCAGAGAAGGCTCGCCGAGAGCAAATTGCGGCAGACGCTGCGGCGGCGGAGGCGGCGGCGGCGGAGCGCCGACGTCTGGAGGAAGCCGCCCGAGCCGAGGCCGAGAAGGCGGCGCAGGAGAAGGAGGCGGCGGAACGGGAGGCCACGCGCGCCGAGTCGGCTCGAATCGAGGCGGAGAGGGCGGCGGCGGAGGAGGCGGAGCGTCGGCGTCTGGAGGAGGCGGCGGCCCGCAAGCAAGAGGCCGAGGCTGCGGCCGCGGCGGAGACGAAGCGGGTGAGGCTGGAGGAGGAGGCACGGCGCAAGGCGGAGGCTGCGGCTGCGGCTGCGGCCGCTGCGGCTGCTGCTGCGGCGGCGGAGGCTGAGGCGGAGCGTCGGCGTCTGGAGGAAGCAGCCCGCGCCGAGGCCGAGAAGGCGGCGCAGGAGAAGGAGGCGGCGGAAAAGGCTCGCCAAGAGCAGGCCGCGGCAGAGGCAGCAGAGAAGGCTCGCCGAGAGCAAATTGCGGCAGACGCTGCGGCGGCGGAGGCGGCGGCGGCGGAGCGCCGACGTCTGGAGGAGGAGGCGGCCCGCAAGCAAGAGGCCGAGGCTGCGGCCGCGGCGGAGACGGAGCGGGTGAGGCTGGAGGAGGAGGCACGGCGCAAGGCAGAGGCTGCGGCGGAGGCTGCGGCCGCTGCGGCTGCGGCTGCGGCTGCTGCGGCTGCGGCTGCCGCAGCAGTTGCGGCTGCGGCTGCGGCGGCGGAGGCTGAGGCGGAGCGACGGCGTCTGGAGGAGGAGCGGGTGAGGCTGGAGGAGGAGGCGAAGGCGGAGACTGCGCAGCAAGCAGAGCTGGAGGCCGAGGCGGCGCCGCCCGTGGGCCCTCCGAGTGTGAGCGAGACGATCCGTCGAGACGAGGCGGCGCGCGACGATCTCGAGATCGAGGTGGACGGGGCGCGGGACTCGGAAACGTACTCAGAGACCTCTGAAGACGAGGCCGAGGACAACACCACACAGGCCTCAGCGAAGACAACCGAGGACAAGATGGAAACGACTCCGTCTCCCGCGCCCGCTCGCAAGCGTTTCGAGCAAGCGGAGGCCGGTGCAGCTGAAGGCGAGAGCGAGACGCTGGCGCCCGAGCAGCGCAGCATGGAGGCGGAACCCGCCCCTGCGCCGGGCGACGCCAAGCTGGTCGAGGAGCCCGTGGGCAAGGAGACCGCGCCGCCGGAGGCACCCGCGCAGGCGGCCGCTGCGGCGGTCCTTCCGAAGGCATCGACGCTCAAGCTGCCCGGAATCGACATCACGAGGCATCGTCATTTCCCGCTCTCTGCGAGGAACGCTCGGCCACAGCTCCCATCTTCGCCGGCGAAGCGCGTCGTCTCATTGACAGCGACGGGCCTGGGCGCGATCTCGCTCAAGACGGCGGCCACGCCCAAGGCGGTGGCGAAGGCGGCTACCAAGCCCGTGGCGACTGCACCGGATGTTGAGGAGGAGGCGAGCGAGGCGGCTTACGCGACGCTCCTCACGCAGCTGCGCCGGTTCTATGGCGAGTTCGAGCCCACCCGCCTCATCGAGCGGGACGGAGCGGCCGTCAAGGAGATTGCGCGCCATTACGCGGTGCCGGGCCGCGAGGCTGAGCTCCGGCAAAAGCTGCTGTCCAAGTACGGCCACACCCACGATCTGATGCCGCCGCCGATGTCGCCGGTGCCCGCGGTGTCTGCGGCGATGATGGCGCCGCTGAGCGCCTCGGCGGCGGCGGCACCTACCCCTGTCATGGCGGCAGCCTCGCAGCCGCTGCTCGCGTTGGACGGCCCATTCACGGCGCGCGCGCTACCGATCAAGCCGGCAAAGCCGTTGGACTCGCCGTCTCCATCGCAAGAGGGACGCGCCGCGGAGCCTGCGGCGGCGGAGGACAAGACCGTCACGCTCCCGGCGGGCTGGGAGGAGGTGCCTGACGAGGCGAGCCGCGTATTTTACTGGGACACGACCAACAAGTCAGTCTTGACGTATCGGCCAGCGGCCGCCGGCCTGGGTGGAGGCGGTGCAGGAGGCGGCGGTGGGCGCGCAGGCGACCACGGCGGCGGTGGAGACGGCGGTGGAGACGGCGGTGCAGACGGCGGCGGCGGCGGCGGCGGCGGCGGCGGCGGTGGAGATGGCGGCGGTGGAGATGGTGGTGGTGGTGGCGGCGGTGGCATCCCCTCCAGCTCTGCTCTTGGCGGCGGCTTCGTGATCGCCCGCATGCAGTCTTGGGGCCGCAAGGCGCTGTACTACGTGAAGCGCAACGGGTCCGACAAGGAAGACCCAAAGCCCCTCGAGGAGGACGACATCCCCCTCGCCATGCGGATTGCGTTCCAACACAAGCTCGACCTCCCCGCCATGCAGCAGTGAGATGCAACGTC